GCTGGTTATTAAGCTCCTGGTTACCCTGACAGCCAGAGCTCAGGGCTCATCATTCCCCATTAACCAAATGCCGACAGCCTTTGGAAAACCCTTCCTCTAAAAAGCGAGCGGGGAAGCTGAACTGCCGTGGATTGACACCCAGGACCTTCTCAGACCCTTGGGCCCTGACGGGCAGCCTGTGGGGCACCGGGGGGTATGCCCGCCTGGCACCACTGCCGCCCAAACCCTCCTCCTTCAGGGGTGCCACCTTCCCCTGAGCCCACAGCTTATTGCTCTGTCGCACTAGCAGCTTCCACCCCTGCCCCGACAAAGTCCACGCTGGCCAGCTCTTCTTTGTACTGTATAAACTAAGGTTTTATCAGCTCGAAAGAGGTATGGATACATTTTACATTCACGCACCCTGAAAAAATAGAAAGAAACAAGTTTTCAAGCATGCTGAAGAGCAAGCAGAAACTGTAACTGTTTTTTTCCAGGTCTCTACCTGACCAGTGAAATTTCACACTAAAATAAAGCTTTCAAACTGAAGAGGTGTGGAGATTAAAAAAAAAAACAAGCTGGACTTTCACCTCTCGAGCCGAGATGTGCAGTAAATTTAAAGTACATTTGGGAGCTGGTTCCTGTGAAGTTGTTTTCCATCTCCTCTCTTCCTGGTTGAAGCAGCAAGAGCCGCAGGCATCAAAGCCTCGTCTGGGCAGATTCAAGGCCGTTTACATCTAAGAGCCGAAGCAGGGAAGTGAAGACACCGGGGCACTTTTGGCACTGACCTAGCATCTTTCTTGGATGTTGCAGGCAGTTATTTCCCTTGTCCAGCTGCAGAGGGAAAGGTAAAGCCTAGATGCCTACTGTGAACCCTCAGAGGAAAAGCTCAGTGGGAGCACAACGTGCTGTTTTAAGGTCCCAAAGCACCTGGATGTGGCTGCAGCCAGTTTACCAGAGCCACCCAGGTAAACAGAAAACCATGAGCAGCCAGGTTTGGAGACCCAGGACCGGAGAAGACATCCCAGGGCTCCAAGACCACTCCTCTGCTGCTGCTGTAATAAATTCTCCTTGTTTTTCTTACTGCCCTTCTACAGCTATTTCACAACCTTTGGCTTCAACCTAGCTTATTTATGACTGTCTTACGCATGTTTCTTGTGACTGTACATTTAAGCAGCTCCTTCCTTGCCCTGGTGTTTACAGCCAGCTCCATTCTCTCTCCAGCTTCATTTTGCTGGTGACTTCTCTAAGCTTTCACTCTCTGCTCAGAAAACAGCCTGTTCCCTAATCATCCCGGCCCTGCTGCAGTTCGAATTTATCTTTCTCAAGTGTGGGTGACTGGCTCCGCATAAACTGTTACAGGTAAGACCCCAACTCTGTCATTTCCAACTTGCAGCAGAAACTCACAGGTTGAAGTCCCCGATTGCACAAGACATGGAGCACCACACTCTGTACCACTTCCTTTCCTCCACCGCCCAAGGGTAAGCCCACTTCTCCCACACGGTGGTCCAGCCCCCCACGTCACGCCCACGCCTGCTGACCGTGTTTCACCAGCGCGTGCTCCAATGTACCCCTGTGCTCTGCACCATGCTCACAAAAGGGCGATTGCTGCTCCACCGTCTCTCCCTGCTGAAGAGCTTCACGAACAGCCGCTCCTCATCCCAAACAGTGTTAACAGGGAACTATGACTACCTCCTCCTCAGGGCTCTCCATTCCATATCAGCTCCTTTCCCCAGCTGGATAAGAGCCTTCTGCAGACCATGTCTGGGCACTGTGCTCACCCCTTCATGCCCTTCCCAGCCTTCTACTGGCAGCTGTTGTCAAAGACTCTCAGGCTACCTGGATTTTTACTTTTATCGAATATGGATGTTCTCAACCCCACACCACCACCCACGCAGAAACAGAAGCATTTCTTTAAAACTCTGAATTGCAGACAGCCTGCAGATCTGCACTGCTGTTCACTGCTGCGTCACCAGACAGGCGTCCTTCCAGTGCTGCTGCCAAAAACCTTCCTGTAAGTTAAAAGCAGAGCTTTCACACTGAACACCTTGACGTGGCCCATGCAGCTGAGCCGATTCTGCGGCGGCAGACGTGCCTGAGGTGTCCGAGACAGACCGACACCACTTACAGCACCACGAATGCTGATTCCTGTTCACAGCCTGCTCCCCAGCAAATGAGCCACCCAGCCGAGCTTGCCATAACATTAACACATAGCCTGCAGAGACATTTTTAGCCGTTTCACAATTACATACAATTAAAATGTTTTTAAAACTACAGATTGTCACAAGTCTGTATTTCAAACAGCTTCTCTTTTTCCCCTTTTCAGTACAAAAGGCAACTCCACTACTCCCTCAGCAACTGGAAAACTAATACGAATAATCATATCATCACATGCTTACATACTGTAATTAAACCAGCCTAGATCTGGCCAGTACTCAGATGGACTCCTTGCAAGGTAAAGGCAAGGCAAGTCTGCAAGAAAGGCATGTGAGGAGCTTTAAAGAGTCATTTTTTGAGCAATATGCAAACCCAGAAGGCAGTGACTACCAATTATCACCTTCTGTGGCACTTCTCCAGAAGCAGTAGGTGTACTCCTGGCCAAAACCCAGCTCTAATTATACAGTGTCCACCTACTTCTAAATTTCATCTGCAAGTTATTTTGCATGTTCTCTTTATAAAATGTATTGACTAGGGTTACTGGCACAGAAAACCGATACCTTCTGCCCAAGCACATTTGAAGCGTATGACCCAGTTCAAATTGTTTTTATTATTTCTCATCATATTATTTGACAAAAGACAGAATACTATTAACCAGAATTGACTAAGTCAAGGAGAAGCTTCACCGTAAAGAAACAAAGCTAGATATCACATCCAAGTTTTTACCAAGCTTCAATTTCTTAAATCAATGTAGATTGACAGCCAAATCTCCAGGGTCTGTCATCTGCCAGAGATTCTCTCTGCCTCCTTCCTTTGTTCTAAAACGGTCTTATTTGGGCAGCAAAGATCTGATCGATACCAAGATGAGCAATGGCAGCAACAACAACAGCCATTCCCAGATCAAAGTGCCTGGTTCCCTACTGGTTTTCAGTGCCAGAATTATTACATTATTCTGGATACCCCAAACCACATTTGTGAAGGCTGAAGCAATGCTGAAGCCTGTTAATTTGATAATGCTTTTGTAGTAGCAAAAATCAAAGCCTTTAAATCTTAGCGCTCAACAGAGAATCTGATACTTTTTTCCCCCCCAAGTGACTGCAGCAGCACCCTGTTTATTCCCCTGCAGCCTGCGCACCCCCTTCCTATTAGGTTTATACCAATTTCAACCAAGCCAGAACTATATGAAGACGTTATGCAGAAGAAATTGGGGTAAGGGAAGGATTTCCTCAAGTGATGAAAAAAGATCCTTAAAATACCATGACACATTGGGAAGGAAGTGTTTTCCCAGCTGTTCTGTGCAAACCCTATCAAAAGCAGCTCAAACAGTTATTGGGCTGAAAAAACAAGTCAGTCCGAGATGTAGCAGAGATAGCAGACACCCTGTGTCAGCTAATGCCTCTCACCTCCTCTCTCCGCGGTGCAATGCCTCTGCTTCCTGAACACGTGAGGTACACAGGATAAATAATGTTGGCTCTTTTTTTATGTTTGAAGGGATTTTGTTTGTTTGAAGGGTTATCCTCACTCTTAAATATCCATTTGCTACAGTTACAGAATTATGAACTACAATTTAAATAAGTCATAGAAATACTTACAGACCAAATAATTATCATCCTTCTAGACACAGAGTGATCTATGTTCCAGTAGGTAAACGGAAGGAAAGTGATATAAAAAATCTCTTGGCCCAAAGCAGCTGAAAACTTGAACAAGTAGTAGTAGAAGTAGTTTTTCACAATATACTTCTGCGCACAACCCTGGAAATGAGAGGATTTAGAAAGTTTTAGTGAATTAGCAACTTATATCAAACATTTAAGATATTTTAACTATTACAGCTCCCAACCCTTAACCCAAATAACTTGTTCCAACAAGTGTCAAAAAATTAAGTTCATTTTTTATACTAAAATGAGGACTATAGTGATAGCTTAACTACATTTCCTGCAGATCAGACATCTATTCAAACTAACTGAGGGTAGCAGTCACGCTGACAAAGATTTTCAAGATATCAGATCAGTCTTTCCTCCAAGGAATCAAATATGTTTCATAAAAGGGTACTGATGCATTAATTTTGAAGTTTCTACATCCATAGATAAAAAGAGCCACCATCACTTTCAGTGGAAATCTGTTGAGATTAAAAAAGTAAACTGCAATTGCTGAACCATTTCCTTTAAAATTTGCCTCGTTCCACCAGCCAAAGTTCACCCTGCTAGTCCCTGAAATTCGCTGGCAGCAGAATCCCCTGCACTGCCCTCAGCCCCGGGCTCCGGGAGCTGCAGCCCTTCCACAGCAGCTGGCTCGGCTCCTGCAGCCGCACGAGCTGACCCAGGGACAAGGCTGCGAGTGGGCAGAGGGAAGAGCTGCCCCTGCCACCGCCAAGTTTTCACTCCAATATCTTCAAGTAAGAACCACCAGGTTGTCTCTTTGAACACTACCAGCAAGTCTATTGCAAAACGTATCAGGTGATGCTGTTTAGGACTTTGTTTATTCATTTTATGAAGCTACAGGTTTCACTTTTCTCTGGATTTGGCAGCTAGATGATTTCATTAGATGTACCCCACCGAATATGCTCATTTTCTCCCTTCTAAAAGGCTGCACCTAGCCCGCTGGAGCTGGGAAGACACACAACCGTGTATCTTATTAAAAGGTTTGCTGTTGCTGACTTTTGGGACTAGTACACCACTAAGAAGCCTCCCACCCCATTAGCAGGAGCAACATGCAAGTGAATCACATGTTATACAAACACTTGTACATTTCAAAAAAAAATTATATAGATATATATATATATGAAGAGGATTTTTGATCTGGGGGCAGGAGTAAGGGAGCCAATGTAGTATCGCTCCATCTCCCCAAAAGAAAAAAAAAAAAAAAGGAAATTGGCTGTGTAAATAAGAGATGAAAGCACTTCCTAAAGATGAGAGTTGAAAAGAGATCACGAAGGTTTCAGCAGACACACTAACATGTAGCTCTGATAGAAGCTCCTAAAACTCTTCTAAGAGAAAAACTATTATGCTTGGACTTGACTATGTAACTAATCTAATTCTCATCCTACTCGCTAGTGAGAAAATGTAAAAGTCACCTAAGGAGTCTAGACAAGCAACTGTAACTCATTGTAAAAGCCATTAGAAGTTCCAGTCTTTTAATCTGCTTTCATTATGGAGATGAGGCAAACAGCATGAAGACAACAAAAGAGAGATGGAAAGAAGTTGCATCCATTCCCCTATCACAGAAAAAAAATGCCACAACTTCTTTAAATTGATTTTTGCATCAGTAAACAGAAAATATGAGTCATCGCTTTTGAAACACTGGGGTCACAGGAGTGTCCCCCCATGTATTAGTAATAGAGGTCACAGATCGGTTACCGGCATCCCTCAGAGAGAACTCAGTGGCGAGCTCTGCCTGGCCGGCTGACAGAGCAATCAGCCTAAGTGTCTCGAGTCTCATATGCCACTCAGAAAACACCCCCGGTGCAATTAGCAGCTCTGATGCTTCTGTCCGAGATCCTGAAACCGTATTGGGTCACACGCACGTGGCCCCAGAGAAAGCTCTCGTCTGGCACCCCCAATTCCTCAATTAAGCATCAGTCTCCAATGTACTAGGAATTATGTGCTCGTGTGCTTTAGATCAAAAACGATCAGAGGTATCCCTAAGGTACTTTATACTTGGAACCTTGCGAGATGAGGGATAAAACTCTCTGATTCCAGTAATCTGTTTTTTTTTGGCGGGAGGGGGAAAATTCAGGTTCTAAAAGAAATCTGGAGTTAAAAAACATTTCCAGCCAGAAGGCAGGGCCAAGTCCTTCCACATGATTTTTAAAACCTTTCTCTTTTTTTCTTCTTTTCCTTTTCTATCAGAAATCACTCCCTACTTGTTTGGGGTTTTTTGTTTGGTTGATTTTTTAACAATTTTTTTTAAAAAAACACTACACCAGCAGTTGTGGACAGCCCAACATATGAGGCAGGAACAAATAGATCACTCCTGTGACACCCGTTGGTAACAGCCACGTTAGGCATTCAAGGTATCCCAGAATCACTCTACTTAATTTTAGGCAGTATACGGTAATAAAAAAAGCGATGTTTTCAATCACTGTGATCCTAAGGCACTGAAAGTACAGAAAGCCCTCTCCCCCTGCACCTCCATACCCTGGCCCATGACAGGTCCACGCTCAGCTGCAGCAGTGCCAGTGCCGGAGCCCAGCAGTTAGCTCACGGCCACTACTTATATCCATTATTTCTGCAGAAAGCAAAGACCACTGTGCTTTGTGAAGTGCCTTCCCTTTTTATTCTCATTCTAACCCCAGTGCAGGAAAAAGCCATTACAATTATTTGTGTGAACATTTAACATTTTCTAGGACTCTCAGAAGTTTATTCAATCTCTACTTTTAAATAACTCTGATCTTTAGACTTGTTTATATTTAATGTGCTGAAGTGACCTGATGCCTTCCACAACCTCTGAAGCACTTTGAGTCAGCCCCTCCATCCACCTCCATTACTATTTGGCCTGGATCAGAGAGGTTTTAATGGGCAGCAATTAAGGCTGTAAAGTCAGAATTTTAAGAACATTTCAGAAGCAAGGTGTAATAAGCCATGAGATTTCCAGACACAGAAGACAGGTCTTTTCACACAAATCACCCTTCTCATCAACTATAAAATATCTATTTTGAAAAAACTTAACTGCTTAAATTACAAGACACTCACACATTCAGGTGAGTCTCCATAAATTAAAACACTCACCTGAAGTACTGGCACAGAAAATGGCTACAGTAGGTCATCCTAATTTTGCAGTCTCTGGGCCCTGGTCATGGGTGAGCCACTCACAGCAGGAGCTGCCCCGTGCATGCTCGGGGGTCCGAGGGCAGTCCCTACGCTGCCGCAGCACCCACCCAACCTCCCTCGGAGCGCAGGAGCACCCCCAAAGCCTCCCTGCAGAGCAGTAATGACAGGGCCGGCAGAGCAGATCAGATCACCACCACTGTGACTCTTGGGAGACACAAACACACAATGACACAGCACGACCGGAATCCAGAATTTTAGACAGCACATCCATAAAGAATATTTAGCCTTTACTTTATAGCTGCAGTAAAGGAATAGCAGCTGAACCATTAATGTAATGCATTAATTGTATTTTAAGCCAGAGGTATACCCCACAAAAAAAGAAAAAAAATAAAGCCATATAAAGATACCACTTCTTCGATTCCTGTAGGATCTCCCTCATCAGAGCGCCAAACAGGCACCGGCTTTCCCTGCCCTGTCTCTAGAGACAAGCTCTGCAGCATCAGACGTCTAAGGCTCGGAGCCTGACCCAGAGATACCATTAACCAACATTTTGTTCTCTGCTCTCAATTGCTTTGGATCCTTCAGGAGACCTGCACATTTAATTAAAGTTCTTGAAGTCATTATACTGCTTCCCTTCCAACAGAATCGCCTTGCAGAAGTTCAGAATTTCCCTCCCAAAGCCCCTAGCTAATGCATTGCAATAATTCTCACTTCAGCGATGGTTTTTTTATGATGCAAAAAGTGCACAGAATTTAGAGAAGCACCAAAGACCAAGCAAAAGAAAAAAGCCAAAAACTCCTATCTAGATGCGGCTGTACACAGAGACAATATAAATAAGACAATTCAGTCCTGCAGGACAGTACTATGTGGAGTATAACCAATGGGAAAAAAACCTTCTGCACTGCAGAATTCTGTATAACCAGTCAGTTTTACATCACCTTCTATGCTTATTCACTGCACCCAGTTAACAAAACAACCTATCAAGTCACCAAAGAAAAAGAGATATCAGTGATCAGATTTTGGAAAATAAGAAAAAGCAAAAACCATGATATCAAAGACTTCAGCTCTTCCATTCATCTGCACTGCTAACAATTTCAGAGTTTTCTGAAGATCCAACAGGTAGCTTAGAGCAGCCAGTAACATCTCCACACCTACGCGGCCACCTCCCTGGGAGCACCAACGCTAGAGACTCACCACTCCAAGGTGAAAGAACAGAGTGGCCAGGAAAAAGGAGCTGTGCCCCAGTGGGAGATGCTGGTGTGGCCATGAATCCCTCACAGGGAGGGGTTGGGGGCACAGCACCAGTGATGAGCTGATGGAGGAGGCAGCAAAGGAGGGACACAGACACATGGAAGAAATGGCAGAGATGTCAGAAAGACAACAGAAAGGAGGGCAGTAGCACACAGAGCTCACAAAATCCACGCAAGGAGCCCCAAGGCATGAAAAACTCACCTAACCAACCTCATATATATATATATCTGCAGCTTCTTGCTCTGTTCAAGCACTTCTAATCAAGTAAATCTTTTTTACCCTCTCCGGAATGTGATGCAGCCAGCTAACAAGAGTTGTCCAGGTTTACACAGTGTCCTTGTTGTTGGAGAGACACCTAGAGCTCACTGAAACCTGAGAGATGTGGGGATAGAGACAAACAGAAATTGCAAGAAAACCCTTTTTAAAGGCTACAAAGTTCCAACCAGCTCTGCTGATAGCAGAACGGGCTTGTTGGCTAGCACACGAATAGGCAACGTCCAACACGCAGCCGTTGTGCACACACCTACAGTGGCACACACTAATGGCATAATGAGTAGGGACGCAGCCTTGAATCATCATTTGATGCAGAAGCAAGACAATCTCTGCATGGGAAGTAACAGCATGCGAGCTTCATGCCAGACAATCTCAACGCTTTGAATAGTCTCAGGCAAAGAACGAGCAAGGAGTCTAAAAGTCAGGCAGACTTCTGGTAGCATTTCAGTAGTCTCTTAATTCATTCAAAGCACCAGCAAAGGCCATTACGTAAAGCTCTCAGCAGGTACTTCAGCAGAGCAGTGCTGCACAGCCAGCAGCACCGGGGACAGCTGGAATTTGTCAGGCTGAAATGGGCCAGACTTTGCAGGACCAAAGCCTGGGGCCAGTCAAGTAGGAAACAAGGACTAAGCGTGCCCAAGACTCCCACCAGTGCTGCCTTGCTGGGCACGGTCCTCACCCAATCGATGTCTTGCACCATTCATCACATCTTATATCGGTACATCTTCATCCAAAGCTTCCCTTCAGGCTGCAAAGGTCGGCCAGCTGAGACAGATGCACACCTGCACGATCAACGCATGCTCAGCGTGCCCAGCACACCACAGCTAGGACGGGTCCAGGACGCAGTTAAAATACCCCAGTTTATCCCCGAAGATTTCACTTTTTTTTAACCTTCAGATTATTTTCCTTTCCACTCCGATTTGTACTCTGCAGGTAGACTGAATTACAGCTTATATTTCTGTATATTGCTCTTGAAGAAACATAATTAGGCCTCCTTCCTTCTGTTGAAAGAACACGGGCAGACATAACGGAATCTGCCAAGTAAAGTAAGACTAGAGTTGACAGAGCACTTGCTCACGCAATTAATAGGAAGAATCAATGAAGGAAAAAAAAAATGATTATGTCATCTTCCTAAAAGAAAGCCTTTTTAATAAAAAAAAAACAAACAAAAAAAAGCCCATAAGCCTCTTTCAGAGACATAGGGGAATGGCTGCTAACAAGACTGAGATCGCTTGTGAAGGACTATGCCTGCAGTCAGCTGGAAGGACAGCCTCATGTTTCCTGAAAGGCAGCCTAACCGAAGCCTAGTCCCGCTTGTCCACCAAGGACAGACGGTTACACTCCCATCACTCCGACAGACATTTGTCTAACCTGTCCGCAGCAGCAGCAGCGACGGAGGCTCCACTGCTTGCTCCAGACGATCTTTGAGGGCTCTGCTCTCCTGCCACCTAGCCTGAAACTTTCTTACTGAAATCTAAACCTATGGCTATTTTCTTACCTACTGCAGACAAGGAACAAATTGTTTCCTTCCTCCGAAGGCTCACATGGGAGATGCTTGTTACAAGCATTCAAAACGGGACGTAACTGTCCTCTCTTCCATTGCTTAATCGCCTGGTGTTTCTTACAGAAGATGTTTAGCATTTTCCAGACACAGCACTTAACCTGCCTGTCTTGAATTACAGCACCCAAAGATCAAACACGACTCAGTAATGCCAAAGGAATAGTCCTGCACAATTTCACTCATTTTGCAGGCTGTTTTCAGAATAGCATGCCACCATTGAACCACGCTCAGCTGCGAATCTTCTTTATTTTTTTCCCTCCATGAAAGCACCACCAAGTCTATTGTTTTTCATTCTGCAGTTGAGTATTTATTACATCTGCTTCAATAGATATCTCCACTTATTGAACAGAAGTCAATTTTCAACCATATCTTCAAGCTTGACGAGACTCTCTCATTTCTGTTCTCGTCCTCCAGCCTACCTGCAGCTCCTCATCACGCAGGCAGCATGCCTCTCATGCCTACATTTCCAGCTAGTTACTTCCACATGGCCATGAAACCTACTCTGCAGAGCCTCATCACTTTCCAACAAAAGGTGTTCTTCACAGCACTCAAACTCGCAGGTCATTCAACTTCATATATTCCTTTCTTAGCAGGTGCCTGGAGGACATCCATGATTCCTACCAGCTCATGTGTTTTGGAGCTTGTGCTCATTGCTAATAAAAAGGCAAGATCATCTGATCTTCTCCACGCAGTGGTCTCATCATATCAGAATGATGTTTCAGCCCTTTTCTTTCAGTATCATTCAGAGTAATCCAAAGAAATCCTTCCATCACGGTCTTCAGACTTGTGAGCAAACACCCATACACACATCCCTGACATGGAGGGTAACGCCTCTGTTTTTATTTCCTTGCACGCTCTTTATGGAAAACTGTCCCTCTCACAGCCATTCCAGTTGCCTGAGTAACTCCTCAGATGTCCAGCTCTTACGCTTTTGTTTTTAACCACTGATGAGTGCCAACAGCAGTTTTCTGCCAAGCAAGCTGCACCACACCAGTGCAGGTAGGGCTGCGTGCGTCTGCTTCCTGAGGAGCAGAGGGAAGGTGGCTCCCCTCCTTCATGCCCTCAGCCCTGCTTTGCCAGCCAGAGGTTAGGCAGGTTGGCACGGCTGTTTCAGGTGCCCCCAACAAAAGAGGTGGGTGAGCTTCCCACACGCTTCAGCATCCTCCTACGTTCCAGCAAGGGCTGGCTGACTTGTGCAATAAGGAAACAAGAGGGCAAGAGGGAAGGAGAGGGAAGGGCAGAAGAAAAAGGCTTCCTTCCTCCCTGCTTTACAGTGGAAGAACAGGTTTGTTTAATGGCATTTTAATTTACAAGAATTAGATTGCAATTTTGTGAGGTGCACTGTGGAGCCTTCGCCTGAAAGTGTCTGAGGAAGTCATTTTAGGAGCTAGATAGCTGCAATTTCTGTGGACAGAGGGAGGAAAAAACGTGAGTTAAGAACCAGAGAAAGTAAATTACAGACAGTTCAGAAGGACGGGGACTCCAGCTTCGAAATGGAGGTCAAACAAATTCCTCTGAAAGTCAGCTGTATTTCATAAGGTTGAGCGTTACTGAAAGTGGATAGAAGAAGGATGCGTCACACAATAACAGTTTCCAAACTGCCCAGCATTAGACAGCCACCCTGCCCACATGCCAGCTCCCTGCGAGCACTGCCATCTCTTATTTTTCACTGGCTGCCAAAACACATGAGTCAGAGCATTACTAGGACCTGCATGGCTGCTAGATACCCAGGCTGCTCTCCAGAGATCCGGAGAAGCAGGAGTGAGAAGCCCCTCAACTCACTTTTCCCCCAGCACACCAGGTTTGAGGAGCTCCCATCATCTGGGAGCTCCTCAGCAGAAGCCTAACCTAACCCAACAGAAGCACATGGGAATGGACAAATGACCATGGAGAACCAGAACTTCACTGTTGCATTTCTTTTCAGAGCAAAAAGCTCCTTCTCATTTTAAGACTTGGTTTTAGAAATTAACTACGGCCTGGAAATTTGACACCACAGATTAGTCATGTATTTCCACCCAGCAGCATCATGAATCTGGTCGGCTTACTTTTGTACAAAGATCATTTCCACGGCAGAGGTCTACTTTGAGAGGCACAGAGCAGCAAGGCTTCTGGAAGATAAATGGGCAGAGTAACACCATTCCATTTTCAGACAGCTGAATTGTTTGGGGGTTTTTTTAATCTGTTATAATCAGGCAACAGCTTAGGGAGAAATTACAGTTTCCCCAGCAGATAGGTCCAGGATTCAAGTCAAAGAGCCATTTTTCCTAAGGTAGTGCCAAATAAGGCTTCAGGCTAACTGTCATTGCAAATATGCCAGTCCCAGGTAGATGTGCTCCTGGAAGGTGGAGACCACGGCAAACGGGAAGGGACACGGTGTTCAAATGGCAGCAGTGACTGTAGAGAGGCACGTCGGAGGACACCGCAGCAGCCAGCCCGCCCCCGGGGATGAGCGCCGCAGGTAAGGTGTTCTCAACTCACACGTTGCCTCATTATTAGTCGCAGCCAGTGCAGGCCATGCCGATGTCAGCTCTGTTTTTGATGGGGAAAGACACAAGGGGACCAACATGACACCCAACATTGCCAACAAGCGCTGCTCAAGGATCTCTTCTGCTGCTGCAAGGCCAGGTCTTCTGCTTATTCTGTCCTCCGCTTCATTCCATACATTCTGGTCTATGGGTCTTTTATTTGTCAGGGAAGTGGTTCCTTGCTGCTAACACCTCTGAGCCCTTTCCCATGCAAACTTTTGGTCTTTGCTCTCTTGCAGCACGAGTGAGGTGTCTGACGCCATATTCTGCTGTAAAATACAGTACCTCGGCGCGCTCCCTCTGCGCAGAGAAATGTCAGTAGGGACCACTGAAGGCAATACACCTAATCAAACTGGTTAGCCTAAGTGAGCAATTATAAACACGTCAAGTCAAGCTATCTGCAAAGGGGATAGCAACGACCTGGCCTGCTGTTACAGAACGGCTACACAGCTTCGTACGTACCAGAACCGGCAGGCTCACAGAACTCCATTAGCAGCAGTCCGCAACAGCCAGTTGTCTTCAGAAGGAAGGATTAAACATACTTTTTTTTTTTACATCTAGTAATAAATATT